ATTTATTTATTTATTTTTGTGAGGAAGATCAGCCCTGAACTAACATCCATTCCAATCCTCCTCTTTTTTGCTGAGGAAGACCGGCCCTGAGCTAACATGTATTGCCAATCCTCTTCCTTTTTTTTTTTTTTTTCCCCTCTTTTTCTCCCCAAAGCCCCAGTGGATAGTTGTATGTCATAGTTGCACATCCTCCTAGTTGCTGTATGTGGGATGCCGCCTCAGCATGGCTGGACAAGCGGTGCGTCGGTGCGCACCTGGGATCCGAACCCAGACCACCAGTAGCAGAGCGCACGCACTTAACCGCTAAGCCACAGGGCCGAGCATAGGCCACTTGTGTCACCTGTGATGTTAGCTTTTTTTGAGACAGGCTTATGCCACTATTTGGAAAGGGAAGGACTCTAGTTCTCTTTAATTTGTTTTTTTAAATGGACGTCAGAAACCTTTGTCCCAGAGGTGAATCTGAATTACTACTTGATTTAAACTGGCCCATGATGTCTTTCTAAATTGAATTTTGGCTCCACCTCTCTGATTCTTAAAATAGAATTGTATGCGTATATTATGTTATTGTTAGTCGTTCACAAGTGCGGCTGTGGATTTGGTGGTAGGATGATTTTCATGTTGAATACGCAATAGGTTGTTTTTAACCTTGTGCTTGGTCTTTGGTGGTAACTTGTTGCTTGTATGTGGTTTAATTTTGCTTTGGAGAGATGATAGAATATGGAGCCCTGTTCCATCCTCTGCCTTAAACTAAAGCCCTGCAAAGCTGACTAGGACAGGAAATGCTTCGACTCTTTCCTCTGTTTTCCTGAAGATGGAAAGGGAAGGCGGATGTGAATGCAAAGTGTTTACAGAAGTATTTGGAAGTTGGTTCTGATAAAGGTGTTTTTTTGAAACAGCGGGTACAATGGCTAATTCAGTAGCTCTATTGCAGTGTGCGTTTTAGTAGAATTTACAGGGTGCTTGTTAAAATTGAGGATTTCTTAGTCTCAGCCCTAGAGATTCTGGTTCAGGTGGTCTTGAATGGGGCCAGGAATCTGCATTTTAAGCAAATCTTTAGGTGATTCTGAAATGTACTTTGAGAAGCTCTGGGTTAATCCCAGCCATGCCCCTCCTGGGACTTCAGGTGGCGATAACATTTTCTGGACAAGGCTTAGGGAGGATTAGGAACCAGTTGGTTAGTGGCAGTTTTGGCACGGATCTGGCTGTTCTCAACTCAGCTCCAAACTCCGGGCTGAATGAGTCCTTGCTGACTTCTTTGAAGCCATGTTTTAAGCAAGTCTTTCTTCATGGGGCCTGAGGATACCATTTGGAATGTATGTCAAGCACAGGTGAATCCCCGAACTGTGTTAAGAGCGAGGGAAAAAAGCTGCCCATTGGGTTACTCCTGCCACCAAGAATGCTGTTGTTCTTAAAATGACACCACTGTCATTCTTGGGGCCAGGAAAGCAGTGATGGGGCCGCTTGCCTGGCACGGCTAGATGATGCCTTCAGTGACCTTCAGATGGTATAGCCACCCCTCCCCCACCCTCCCTCCCTCCTTACCAGTTGCCTCTGGGCCGTTCCTTTGTTTTTTTTTTTTTTTTTT